GGGTACTGCCGCCGCTGACGTATATAGTTACGTTACTTTGATACAAATATGGGCACTTACTATACCGCTTTATTTCGTTATCATTCCCCGCGCGTATATGGGCATCATGGATGGGATGGGGACGCTTGGTCGTTCTTGTTTCAGAGATTTGGCACTTGGGATTTGTTTCTTGGTCTGCAGAGAATCTGGGGCTGACTTCGTTGCTCTAGTCTCCATCTCTATCACCCTGTCATCACCAGACGACCCTCCCGTTGGGGTTATCCTATTTCCTGTTGTCCGTTGGGCTCAGGGACCTTCTTACACTACCCTTCAAGACACCGATTGGGAAGACCTATACGAACTTGGTGAACACGACAACGAAGATCTATTTCACCATCAGGACGATTGGACTCCTGAACTTCGTTCCCTATTCGGTGATCCTCCCTATATCGAATTCCCCTCTCTTCATTACCAAACCACCAACGTTATCGAGTATCTCCCCACCATGTCGGGAATCGAGAAACTCAACAACTCCATTCTGAGTGTCTTCGATGGCACCAATTGGAATACGTGGTCGGACAACTACATGAGCATCTGCATGCATCAGGGCACCTGGGGAGTGGTTAAACCCACTCATATTATGGTTAACGGCACATCTACCTCGAACCCTGGTTCTATGGAGCGTCCTGGAACGGCTGGTGACAGCCAATATCAATGGGACGTTGCCAATGAAAAGGCACTGGGTCTTGCGCGGGTTTATATCACCCAGAATCTGCGCAAGGGAATCTTTATGGACGGTCAGCGGGAGCGCACTGCGCGCGAGGTTTTTGCGAAGATGGCGACGGATTATGGCCAACCAAATGCCATCGATGCTTTTGTCGAGTACCGCCTCCTGAACACCACCACCTTCCACGGTGGTGATACCATTGAAAAGCAAATCATGGAAATGGAGACTCGTCGTCGCCAGTGTTCGGAAGGAGGAATCGAGATCCCTGACTACCTCTTCGCAACTCTTATGCTCGCCGCCTTGCCCGCTTCCAGCAGAGGTTTCGTCACCTCTTACCTTGCCAATCGTCCTATCGCTTCTCTGAACCCAGTCGATGTCAAGAACAGCGTCATAGGGAATATCAAGATCGAGAACCTCGACACGACGTCGAACTCGAAGATTTCCACCGTTCCGTCCCTTGCCACCCGCTGCACTCATTGCAACAAGTCCGGTCACGTTGCGGCATCCTGCTACAAGAAGTATCCCAACCTCAAGTCGACTGGTCAATCTTCTGACAAAGGCAAGGGGAAGCAGGATGAGGGGAAGAAGAAAAAGAAGAAGGAAAAGAAGAGTGGTGATGGTACTAGCGCTGTAAAAGAAGTTGTAGCTGCTCCCGCGGTTGCAGCTGCCTCCAATGGAATGCACATTTCGTCCTATCTCATGAGTGACTCCCTCAAACACATCGATGATGGAATTTTTGTTGAAGAAATGGGAGACGACTCCAAAATTCGTTTTCTATGGGACTCGGGTTGTACGCATCATATGACAAACACCCGATCCGATCTTCACAACATCAGGCCTATCGACACCTATGTAGTCGTTGGGTCAGGAGCTCGCTTCAAGAATGAAGCCATTGGAGATATTGTGTTGCGGGGTCATACTAGTAGTGGCATGGACTACACCTTCACGCTGAAGGATGTCATCTACAACCCGCACATAAGAGGGCGTTATCTTTCTGGGTATGCGCTCGATCAGGCTGGTTACTACACCGTGGTTGGTGACAACAAGGCAATCCTAGTCACCAAGGATTGGCTCAACAAGGGAAAAGCGCATGGGGATGTCTTGATGACCTTTAAAGCAAGCAATCACTGCTACTGGTACTACCCCGAGGAGCTCGTGGCACCATCTGTGTCTGCATCTCACGAGTCTACCGCGCTCGCTTCCCTGGAAACTACCGATCGTGAATTGTGGCATAAGCGTTTTGGTCATGCGGCTCGGAGGACCCTTACTCACTTGCCGACACAAGTTGAAGGTGTTCCCCCCTTGCGACGCAATAAAGACCAGCGCGGCATGTGCGATGGATGTATGCTTGGAAAACAGCACAAGCATCCGTACCCTGCATCAGAGAAACGTGCTAGCAAACCCCTCGAGCTTATCCACACTGATTTGATGGGCCCCTGGCCTACTCAGTCGTTGGAAGGTTCACGCTACACAATTTCGTTCTACGACGATTTCTCGAGCTTTGGCATGATGGTGTTCATTAAATCAAAGGACCAAGCCTCTACCGCGATTAAAAACTTTGTTGCCCTTGTAGAGCGTCAGCTCGGCACAAAAGTACTGGCCTTCCGGTCAGATCGTGGAGGTGAATATATGTCCGATGAACTCACAGCCTGGCTCAATGCACGTGGTATTATGCACCCTAAGTCTGCGCCACGCAAACCACAGCAAAATGGGAGGTCTGAACGTTGGAATCGCACAGCCTACGAGAAAGCGGAATGCATGCGCCTCGATGCCGGCCTATCCAAAGGCTTCTGGCAATGTGCTATGGATGCATCTGTCCACGTTCATAATAGACAACCTATGGCACGATTGGGATGGCGAACACCTGCGGAACTGTGGCTTGGAAAGAAGCCAGACGTCTCTTATTTCCGTGTGTTTGGATGCAAGGCGTCTCTCTATGTGGATGTTGAAAAACGCCCGAAAGGGTTGGAGCATGGACGCCCCGACCACATCTTCGTTGGATACAAACGAGAGACAAAAGCTTGGAAAGTGTGGGATCCGAATCAACGCAAGATACGAATCTCTTCAAACGTCGAGTTCGATGAGCGAGTATTCCCTGCCAAGTCCAAGCTAGTCACCGGCAATGTGTCCTCTGGACCGGAGCCGTTCACACCATTCGAGGAAACCTTCCCTGACCTTATCAATAATCCTGCGCCTGCAACACCTTATGCAAGTGTACCACCCCCTGCTCTTCCACCGCCCCTGGCACCCCTCGCGCAACAAGGTCCTGTCACGGGATCGCGAGAAGTACCCCTAATGCCTGGCCCAATAGACGATCGCCCGATTGCCCATCGCCGCCCTCGTCGAAATAAGCCCCGCATTTTGCCGGATGGAACTACGTATCAGAGGCCTAGCAGCATTGAGTCCATGTTGTCAGCTGCCCAAGCTGAGCATGACTTGCCTCAGAACGTGCGGGACGTAGCAAAGAGCCCGGATGCACTCAAGTGGGAGCGCGCAATGCGCGAAGAACTGGACTCTCTCGAGGAAAACTGTACTTGGGATTTGACCAGCCTTCCACGCGGTCGAAAGACTGTCAAATGCAGATGGGTGTTTAGCAGGAAGCGTGACGGTCGTTTCAAAGCACGACTTGTTGCCAAGGGATTCACTCAGGTTCATGGGTTTGACTATGATGAGACCTTCTCGCCAGTATTGCGCTACAAATCTTTGCGCATACTTATGGCCCTGGCTGCTCTCGAAGATTGGGAGATTCATGCCATGGATGTCAAAACGGCATTCCTAAATGGGGATCTGGAGGAAGAAATCTATATGGAACTTCCGGAATTACCCAAAGGTTTCTCGTCATGGCCGAAAGAAAAGGTGGCACGCCTTCATAAATCACTCTATGGGTTGAAACAGGCGTCTCGTCAGTGGAATATCAAAATCCACAATGCCCTCCTCGAACTTGGTTTTGCTCGGACATACTCCGACGCCGGTGTCTACACATATTGACAACAAATGGGAGATACGGTCATCATCTTGGTGCTGTATGTTGACGATATGCTCATTATGGGCAACAATCTGCCGGAGATAGCGCGGATCAAATCATTGCTCGCGAACCGCTTCAAAATGACAGATCTTGGTCCTGCAAAGGATTTCCTTGGTCTGAACATAGTTCGTGATCGCAAAGCGCGTAAAATCTGGATCGATCAGGCTTCCTATATCGAAGGAGTTCTAGAACGATTCCGGATGTCTTCGTGTAAAGAAGCTTGTACTCCCCTGCCTTCCGGCATCGTGCTCGAGAAGCATGATGGAGAAGTTGATGAAGACCGTCGTACCCGATACCAGCAACTGATTGGCAGCCTTCTATACGCCATGCTTGGTACTCGCCCCGACATTGCCTATGCAGTCATCCGTCTATCAAAGTTCAACAGCAACCCGTCAGAACATCATTGGAACATGGCAAAATACATACTCCGGTACCTTCAGGGCACCAAAAACTACCAACTTTGCTATGATGGTTCCACTGGCGCAGGCCTTATCGGTTATTCCGATGCTGATTGGGCGGAGAACAAAGACGACAGGCATTCAACCACGGGATATTCCTTCTTCATCGCCGGTTGTGCAGTGACCTGGGTTTCTAGACGCCAACCCACGGTCGCTTTGTCCTCAACAGAGGCCGAATACATGGCTCTGAGCGATGCTACGCGCCAGATTGCCTGGATCCGCACTTTGTTGACTGAGCTCGGATATGACTTGCCATCCACGCCTCTTTGTGTTGATAACCAAGGCGCTATTTTCATGGCAGTAAATCCAGTTCATGATAGGAGGACGAAGCACATCGACATCTGCTATCACTTCGTACGAGAATCCGTCGAAGCTGGCAATGTCCAACTTTACCATGTGCCGACTGATGCGATGATCTCCGACACGCTCACAAAGTCTTTGGCATGGGTGAAGTTCCAACAACATCGGCTGTCTTTGGGTCTTCGTGATCCGACTGTTTAGTTGAGTGGGAGTGTTGAAGCTTGTTTGTATTAGCGACTATCACAGTATGTAGACATGACATCATAAGTAGTATTCTTAGATTACTTTGGCTCGCTCCACAATGACCTCATACCTGACCTCATTATTGCGTCATCCATTACTCATCTATGATATCATTACTCCACTATGACATCATGATATCTGCTCCAGACTGGTATATAAACCTAGTACTATACGCTCCATATCCTCAGCTCCTGTGTCTCTACACTCGCTGAGGTATGCATTCTCCCTTACGATCTAATGACCTTACTTATGACTTGTACCATAGACTCTGTCTTCTAGGTACAGCTAATGATATAGCTCCTGTGTCTCTACACTCGCTGAGACTCTGTCTTCTAGGTGATTGCTACTGGTCGTATCTCCACTGCGCGGTATTGTCTGCGACATCGTAGCGTCTCAAGCCATCCCTGAACCAGATCTACACGATGATCGGCGAGTCGAGCTGCTTCTGAGCGAGGTACCTGATCGTAGCTCAGTGTAGGCGGTGTTGTGGACTCGGTGGGTGCAATTTCGGCGGAAAATGAGTGGATCGTGGATTGGCGTCGTGAAACGAAGGGTAAGTCATTGATTATGTGCATAAAACCGTGCACCTCGTCGATCCAGTCATCAAAACCGTCGTCCTCATGCTCTAACTCGTCTCCAGGCTGTGCGGGTTGTCTGGACAATCCATCCGGGCCGTGTTTGACGCCAGGGACGTGTACTAGCTCGAAATGGAACGTTAGGATCGCCAGGATCCAGCGATTGATACTGGCCGAGGGCGAAAGATCGGGGTTCCGTAGCATACCCTTGATGTACCTAGCGTCGACTTCAACCACTAGGTTTCGTAGACCAATCAGGTGGAGCTTCCATGAACGAAGGGCGCGGAATAATCCATACAGCTCTAGCTTGGGCTGTGAAAATCGAGCTTCTCGATCGTTAAGCGTGATTGAGCCAAACCGGGCATAGAAACGTCGACTGGGAGTGTTTGGATCGCACTGGGCAAGCAGGAAACCAACGGCGATCTGAGAGGTGTCCACGGATAAGATAACTGGGTCCCCAGATGAATAGTCGATTGGCCGGAGCGCAGGGCAGCTCAATAATGCGTGCTTCAGGTCGTCTTGGGCAGCGATCTGTGCAGTACCGAAGTGGAATGGCATATCCTTTCGTGTTAGAAGTGTCAGGGCGTGGGCACGATGCGCAAAATTCGAAATAAATGCACGGCAGACTCCTATGGTGCCCAGAAATGCACGGACTTCTGAGAGCGTCTTGCAGGGTCCCCAATTTGCGATTTTGTCGACTCTCTTCTCATCAGGGATGCGTCCAGCCGGTGTGCAGACATGTCCAACAACTGTGATGGTTTCGGCGCAGAGTGTGAGCTTGAGGCCAGAGAATGTCCCTCCGCAGTACTTCATCCTCTGAACGATTCGATTCAGATTTCCAAAATGTTCCCAAACGAACCGGCGAATTACTGGATTCTCAGGGATCGTCTCAAATGATCCATCTTCTAGCTGATATCTCGATTTGGGGCCATGGCCTGGGACGTCGTCGATGTATGGCCAAGTAAATTCCGGGATTTCGGGCTGGAGGATGTAGGTGACGTCGTCGTGGAAGATGGGGACTGAATTCGTCCATCCCATGGGCAGGGTAACAAGTCTGAGAGCTCCATAGGGCGTCTGGAACTTTGTATAGTCGCGGGAGGCTGGCGCAAGCAACCGCTCATCATATCCAACATATAAATCCAGCATGGCACCGCAGGCTCGTCCTGCAAAATGCTCAGCCAGCTGCTCAGTGAATGGCGTGACGCCTGAGTGCTGAATTGTGACGGCGTTTAGTGGCTCCAGGGAATGAACCAAACGAAGGCTGGTGCCGTCTTTCTTGACAACGCAGAACCAACGGGATCGATAGGATGAATTGGACGGTTCATACACTCCAGCAGCGATTTTCGAGCGTATGAGATCGCAGACTTGATCGTAGATCCCAGGGGGAATGGGAATATTGCGCTGCACCCATGGTGTGTGCGGCATGACTGGGATATTGACAGGGGAAAGAAGTCGGTTCGAAAACGTCCTCGTTCTGATTCTTGCCATGCAAAGGCTCCTTGGTGAAGGCACATGAACTGGTGCATTAAATCTCTCTCAGCAGGCCACAGGAAGTCACCGCGGTGTGCGTCGTCAAGAGCAGCCTTGCGTTCGGCGGTGTAGCGTCCAGTCGACACAAAAGGAGGCGGAATAGGATCCAGATATGGTAGATCTGCGAGTGGGTCGCCCAGGATCTGGCGCTCGATGCGGAATTCGTCTGGGACATATCCAAGAACAGGCCGAATTTTCCTGGCCACTGGCTTGTACTTTTTGTTAGCAAATTGTGACATGGACGGGTAGAATTGAGATGAAGGAGACGTAGCAGTAGGATAGGTGCGAGACGAGTTCAAAGAAAATATGGGAACGAATTTTGAACCAGGAGTTGAATCCTGGGTCGCTGAGGAAAACGCCGGTTGAACGACTGTATGTGCAAGAGAAATAGTCGAACTGTGTGCGGATAAATTGCTACAGGCAGAGAGATAAGTATGTTGTATGTGCGCAAGAGAGTCTGTGAGAGAAATGGGGGCATAGGACGAAAATACGTAGCGTTCTGGTTGATCTGGGCTGGCCTCGATCACAAAGGCGTACTCTCCTTGATCAGGAATCAAATCCTCGAGCTGCAAAAACCCTCTGAACGGGCACGGGGAGATCCACGGGGCACAGTAGGCACAGTAGCCGTCTTTCCAGTGTTGGGATCGGTGATTGTGAGTGTTTGATCCGTGTTGGAAAAGTTTCGAATGACGCTTTCTGTCAGAACGTCGAATGGTCGTCCCAGGAGCACGTCGTAGGCAGCGTCACGCAGAATGTGCATCTGTAGGTACAATGTGATGTCTCCAATGCAAACCGGGACGTTTCGGGCTAGTCCAAGCGACGGTGTGATTGTTCCATTGGCAGATTGCATTTGTAGAACGATTCGAGGGTCGTACGCAAGTCCCAACTCGTGACAGGTTGCCTGGGACATCGAAATAATCTGAGAACCACTGTCGACGATGCATTCCACTTGTTGCTGGTTGTCAATCACTGGGAGGATCGAGCGGATGGCCAGGGACTCGGCAGCCACAACTAGATTTTCTGGCAACCTTCCAGTCTGATCGTAGTAGACGGCGAATTTATCTGGGACCACCCAAGCGTCTGGGGGCAACGTCTGACTCACCCATAGCACTAGGATTTAGCTAAATGTTATGGCTCTTACCATGGAAATCCCATCCTAATGTATGGTGCTTACCATGCCATGGCAAGAGCCATGCGTTTGCTTCACATCTGCATGTATCACATGATGCACATCACTGATTCCATTGTGTGATCTCCATCAGCCGCCCACAAGTGATACCCTGCTGTGTCCCTCCTTCTCGGACTTAAGACAGGTTCGGGTTTGGGATAGGGTTAGGGTTTGGGATAGGGCTTTGGGTCCCAAGAATCATGTTTTTTTACTGGCTAGGGTTCGGGTTGGTTAGCAGTCAGGGTTGGTTAGAGGTTAGGGTTGTTTCCCCCACTTAGGGAAAGGAGCCAAGGAGGCTTGCTCCTTGTCCTAAGTGGGGAGATGTTTTTTGGCCGGTCCTACCAGGTTTGTGGTTGGAAATATGCTAATGTATTATATGGTGTTATGGCTCAGTGGTTACTGCTCCACATTTCTATAGCTTTTTGGAAGGGTCTCGAGTTCGATCCGGTGCCATGGCTGCCATTCATTAATCACTCATCATTAATCACTATGATCATCAGCTACATCGCCGAACGTGCCGCCGCTTGGTTCACCTGTATGGACACAGGGGGTATACATAGCCACTGGGCATGGTAACTACCATACGTTAGGATGGGATTTCCATGGTAAGAGCCATGGCTTTTTATCCTAAATCTTAGTGCTATGGCTCTCTGACTGTAGGCGACTGGAAAATGCTCCGCAGCCAAAGCAAGGCGTGCATCTTCGTTTCGTTGCTGCTGAAGCACTTTTTCGACCAAATCTGAGTCGTCCTGAGCATATGGAAGGTCGTAGGGCGTGCTATCAGTGACAGGATGCAGGAATTGAGGCACTGCCTCGCCAGTCTTGGCAGGGGGACGACGGAAACTAGTGGCTTCGCGGAATTGAGCACGGACTTCTGGGGCAATCGACAGGGTCTGGCGAAGCGTCTGGGTGACAGGGATGTCCAAAATGGCGTCGAAAACAGCTGCAGCATCTTTGGGGTTGTAGATCGGAGCCGAAGAGCGTGGGGGTTGTGATTTCTGCGCTGGAATCCCAACATTTCGTTCTTTGGGCGGTGCGTAAGCGCCATCACAAGCTGCGGCGTACGGATGGATTGGGGGTTGAGGCGGGGCAACTGGAGCAGCAGGGGCGGTCGCAGGAGGGACGGTTTCGATTGGAACAGGTGGAACGACTGGATTTCGCGCTACCGCCGGTGGAATAGTGCGTTCAGGGACTTCTGGTTGATTAGCAACTTCCATAGCGCGTTTAGCTTGGGCCCGTGTGCGTAGTTGATTAACTTCAGCCGTCAGAACTGCCATTCGTTCTTCGTCCGTGAGTTTGAACGTTTGAACGAGCCCAGGCGCCGCAGAAGACAGCAAATTCTGGTGAGAAACTTCCAAAATCATCTGCGGAGCTGCTGCCTGACCTGGGTTCGCTTCATGCCACTTCTGAATGCGCTCTCGAAGATCCTTTCCTTGGACAATATTTGGCACATATGCGCCTGAGGGGAGGACGACTTTCCCATCCACATTGCGGCGGCATTTTCCGTCTCGAATATCCGTCGAAACGTGGGGACATTGGCTGATAAAATGCTCGAGATCACTGCAATAACTGCAGCCATCAGGACGGCGACGGCGGGGCAGGGCGTTGGCGGACTGTGATTGTGCTGGAGCACCAGGATTGGCGTGTTGAGCAGCGATTATTCGAACTAGATCTGAGACGGATGAAACTAGTGCAGTAATTCCAGGGTCTGATTTGATTGTGAGCTCGGTTCCGGGCTGAGACGTGGGCATTCCAGGAAGTAAGGTCGATGATCCTGAAAGGACGAATTTAGCAGCGTCGTACAGATCTGACAAATCATATGGATCCTCAGGGTGAACGTCTGGCTTCTTGATCTGAAGTCTCTGGCGAACTGAGACGGACAACGAGGCTGGATTCATAGCTCGAAGGAAAAATTGGCTCTGTTCTGCCACAGAGAGTCGTTGTTTGCTAATCAGGAATGTTGTGATGTGTAGGAATCGTCGATAAAATTGTGTGAGGTCGTCCTTTGTGTGGATTCCCATGCGAGATGTCTGCCCAACGAGCATGTCCAAATCGTCGAGGCTGAAACGACGATCTGTGTCGTTCCCTGCGTAGAGGCTGAGGGCGTCCAATTTGAAGTCGTGGTACGATTTGTTGGCGTCTGAGAACGACGGTAGACCTTCCCAAATCTCCTGATCTTCGACGGAAAGGAATCTGACCGCATGCCCCTTCATTTGGGCAGCGTCAGTGACGGCAGATCGAGCTAGAAGGAACTCCAGATCGAGGAAATAACAGCGCAACTCGTGGGGCTTGGACGAATCAAAGACTGGGGCGTTTCGATCGCCTCTGGCTGGCATGGGAGTGGGAGTAGCCATATTTTGAGAAGGAATATTCGTGTTGTGAAGGGGGGATGGTGAACGCGTTGTTGGAGGCGAATCAAAGAGCCAGGATAGCGTTGGAGAGCTCGGGGAATGCGGTGAGAGGTTGTTGTGTTGTGCAAGGGCGCTGGGGACAATGTCAAAGAGGTGTTCGTCGTCGAAAGAGAGAGTTGTGGGGTCGTTGAGAGCAAC